CTTGTTAAATTTTGAGAACTATATAAAAATAATGAATATACATTTTGCTACACGTTGGTAGACATCAAATTCACGAAATTTAATTCACAATATATCAATAAATTCTTAGGAATATATAATTGTACAAAAAGCCTTTATTTATGCTATTATAAAATTGTTAATATAAAATTGATAAACGGTTACATTTACATATTATGATGTTCATTCAGAATTTCTTATTACATATTAGATTTTGCAAATTTTAATGCAATTGATTTTGTATTTTTGGTTATTTTTAGTGACGATGTACTTTTTTTTAATGACAAAGCACTACAATAAGGCATAATTAACAATTCGATAATTCGCAATTAGTTTTTAAAAATATTAGATAATAATCTAATTGAATTTTTGTGTTGGACTTTTAATAATCTAGGCAGATTACTTGCAAAGTTGTTCGGACAACTTAATTTTCACACAAAAGTCCAGTGCCTGTGTTATATAACAGTTTGTAACGTATTTCATCGTGAAACAAAGTGCAAACTTATGTCATCGTTATGTAGTATCTCTTTTATTGCAAAATGTAACATTAGAACTTGAAATATGTAATTCGAAAATTTTATAATCTTATTCAAAGCTATTCAGAAAGTTTACAAAGTCTGGAAATATACACATGATATTATTTCCATTGTGAAATTTATTTTAATTTTAGAAAATAACGTGTCACATAAAGTATATCATGGAGTTAGAACTTCTATTTCTTTATTTATCTAAAAGAAAAAGAAACGAAAAGGCAGTCGATTAAAGAACCTTTCATTCGTACCACGTTTAATATCCGAAGTGGAAACTCATTTCATTGGCAGAAGAATTTATTGCTAGATTCGTAGAATGCAAAATACGCATGTTTAATATATTTCACGAAATGAGAATTTACCGAAAGTACGAAGGCGATTTATTTGAAAGATAAAATGAACCTTCGGTAAACACACAGCTGGACGATTGTTTGTACTGGTTCGGTATTAGAAATGTTTCGAAGATCAGGGCGCCAGGTGTCGCAGTTTGAGTGTCGAGGAACGGGCGCGATATGGCCAGTCAGTTATCCAGCAGCTTGCTGTCGGAGTGTTTCGTCGCGCCGTAAGAGGCGTCGATGCTTTCTCATTTGTTCTTTTCCTTCTCCTTCTCGCTCTCGTGTCGCGAGAATTGGCGCGTCTCGAATTTCGAGATTCGAACAGCCGCGAAAACGTCCCTGTACGGGTCGTATACGGTCAACCGGGAAGCTGCGATACAAAAACTGCCAGAGAAAACACTAAGAAAGTAAGCAGGAATTTCGCGTTGATCGTGAAAGTTGATCCGGTCCTCCCGACACGGAATCCTATCGGCAAGGAGCAGCTTCTTCTTCATCGTAACTTTCCTCGTTTTCGTTTCTTCGAAAGGTACGTCGATTCGCAGCTACGTAACCGCCTCGATCGCGTCTTCATTTCCGCGAGGAGATGCAGCGTGTTTTCTCACCGTTTCTTGCTATCGGAATTTTTCCTTAGTTTAAACGTCACGAATCAAATGGGATTAAATGAAATTACAATGAAATTTCTGCAAATTAACGAATGCCATTGTCGAAAATGGTCTCGATTCATTTCCCTTGTTTACTTATCTATCGCGAAACGATCGTTAAATCTAATTTTGTTGTCCGGCTCCGTGTTTTCGCGACTCGATAAAAGACAGTTTGAAGAATATTTATTATTTATGAGTTTATTCTAACATCGGTGTTTGCATTCACGTACCAAGGAAACGCGTCTTTTAATTGATTCATGTAAACTTCTCTCGACAATTAGTCGGTCGATGTAAGCATAATAATTGTCGGTCCCGTACGATTACGATGCACGATGGCCGTAAGATGTACTGTTACAAAAACGTGTTCTTAAACACGACTCCCAAGTACTTTGCTTTGCTTTGCACTTTCGTAGAAGCACACGTGGTTCAAAGTCACATCACGTGGAGAGTAGCGCTATCTCCAGGAACCTTCGAGTTTAGTTTATCATTTTTCCTTTCTGTTGCTATATGCATATTCCCACTGTGCTTATGTTTTCTTCTTGCAAACTATTTTCGCTACACCGTCATTTTTAATCTGTCATCTATCGTGAAACGTTTTATACGAACGAGATCAAGAATTTATATTGTTTACGTAGATCCCAGATCGATCTATCTCCAACTCTAATTTCGAATACTACGTCATCATGAATTTATAATGTGTCATAATACATATGTATATGCATAAACTTCGTTTACTCGGTTTCGTCGATTAAATTCTTTGGTAATTACATTAAAATTATGTGGTATTTCGTTTCGTTCTCATCGATTCTATTTCTACCTCGCTTGCTTCTTGTCAATCGAGTTATGTGACATTTCAAAATATACTCACAAAATTGAACGTACACACAATGCAGGAGTCTTATTTGTTCAGTAAACAAAAAGCGAACAGTTTTTTCATCGATCAAGTTCGTTGTACGAAATGATACGTAACTTTGGCAAATAATGAATCATTTGATAACAACGTAAACAATACATTCGTGTCATGTTTTCAATCAAAATAAAATGGCGTGTACATTCAGACGTCAGAAAATTCAGCGCATAGATATGGAGTTGCCGAAAGATTTTATTTTTTAAACATACATTTTACCATATATATATATATATTTTTTTTCGTTACGGTACGTTTCATCGTCATTTTATACTGTTTATTGGAAACACTTTTGCATGGTGGCTTCGAAAAGAACGGAGACTGATATTTTTATAAGAAAGTTGGTATTGTCGATGTAAATCTTTGAAAGAAATGGGAAAAATGACAAGTAGGCCTCATTCTACTGTTCAAAAAATGTACACGAAGCAATAAAGCAAGACGAGGAAGGGAAAACTTTTAATTGAAATGAACAAGTGACACGGTAAGATGAATTAAAATTAACCCCAGGACAAGTACGGTAAATTCTCCACAAGTGTCAGTCCGCAAGGAATCTAAACCTGACACTTGTAGAGTCAGGGACTACGTTTTCGAGCCTCGCGCCCGCCTTTGTAGTTTGTCGAACGTAGACAAGGACAGCGAATAAAAGATAAGGATGAAACGTGAGTCGAGGCAACCAAGCGATTTAAATACCAACTTCTTTAATTTTACGCTTTTTTATCTCGAAATTTTTCTTAACATATTGATGTGTGGCGTGACAGCGAACGTGTTAATAAGTAAATGTTGTTCAAATTATATCGTGTTTGATATCATTTTCATCAGAAAAATCTCACCAACATGTTAAAAAAAATTTCAGATGAAAAAAGGTAAAATTAAAGAAATTATATTTTCCTATTATGCATTGTCGAGCCGTGAAATCTCCTGAAAGAAACCGAGTGGTGGTAGCGTTACAGGCTTGACTGGCAGCGAGCGAGATAACATAGGCGCAGCAATGACGCAGACCTAGGCGTAGGACCATCTATACTGACACTTGTAGAATCCAAACTGACACTTGTGGAGAATTTACTGTATCTTCGAATTAACATCAGAAGTTTTGTCAAGAATTAAAAAGGCGGCATCGACAGAAACTGTTCTACGAGTGCTACGTAATAAGGGCTGTAATAACACGAAGGAAGCCCTACATTTCCAAAGTGAATAGATTAAAACTCTTAAAATTTGCAAAAGAATATGTAAATAACGATCAGCAGTTTTGGAATAATGCAATATTTTCCGATCACTTCTATTTATTTGGTCAGTATTTTTTAAAATAAATAGACAGTAAAAATGAATATTTTGGCCAGTATAAATGACTAATTGTCGGTATTAAATTGCATTTTGTCGGTACAATTTTGTTTATTTGGTCGGTATTTTTGTTCTTCGGTCAATGAAATTTAAATTTCTTTTATAGGTTAGGATAGGTTTTTTTTTTTACACACACTGACCGTCTATTTAAAATACTGAGAAATTATTATGTTTACTAATACTTTAATGAAAGTACTAACAGTTTTTGTATTAATCGATGTAATACTGACCACTTGTATTACATACTGATGTTTGATTTAAAATACTGTCAATAGTACAATAAATAGCAGCCTTTTCCAACGAAGTCAAAGTTCATTTATTTAACTCGGAGGGAAAAGGTGTTCTGTGCAGAAAACCGAGAATATACACTACCGGCCAAAAGTTTCGAATCACCTCCCACTTTTCATCAATATTAAATCTGCTGCTAATTTTTTATAGATTTGAAGTTTATCTCCATTCTACTTTGATCAATTTATCTCATACCAATTGATTCAAATGATATAAAATTCTCAAAGTCGCTGACTTTTTTCTGGAAATGTTTGTGCAAATTCCAATGCTCGGTGATTCCAAACTTTTGGCCGGTAGTGTAATCCGAACGATGAAGCATCGAGGAGGTTCAGTGGTCTTCCGCGTGGCAGCCAATGGTGTTGGTAGCTTCAAGAAGAGATATCTAAATATTTTGCAAATGAATTTGAAGTGTTCGACTGAAAAGTTAGAAATATATATTATTATACTTTCATCGTGACAACGACCTGAAGTATTTT